GGAGGCGGCGAGCTGAGCCGTCCGGTTCTTGGGCGGCGCGGCGGCATCTTGGACGGCGTCGGGATTAGGCTTAGGGTTTTGCTCGTCGGAGACGGTGCCCATGTGGAACTTCTCGAGGATGGCTTCGACGTCGACGTTGTTTCTGATGGCGACGTAGAGGCCCGTGATGGAGGCCGTGGAGACGCCGAGGTGAACGCCGAGTGCGACTTTTCCGTACTTCTTCATCAGCTCGCGGAATCGACCACCGGCCATTGTGCGTCTTTGTGTTTCTTTGAAGTTGAGAAACTGCGGTTAGTGCCGTGTTGGGGATTACTTTGCTTTGGTGAGAGAGAAGAAGGGTTTTGCTGAAAATGGATTGCGACGGTAGAGGAGGTGGCGGCGGCGGCGCTTCTCTTGTATCGGTGAGTGGCTTAGGGTTCTGATCGAGAAAGGAAGAGGAAAAGCAAGAGCATGGTGTTTTGTAGAAAAATAAATAAATTGGAATTATGTACTGTACTGAAGAATAAATCGAAGATCTTGGACAATACTAAATAAAACGGGTTATCTCTGTCCGGTCTAGTAATAAACTTGGATTAATCACACGAGATATCATGTTTAAATTTTAGAGAAATTCTACCGTCCCTTATATATTTAAAAGGATTTTGGAATTGTTTTTGGGTTTTAGAACTCTTTTTATTTTTGTTTTAATACATGAACATTAGAATTGTTTGGTTTTTAATAGGGGCGGGCAACGGGCACGTTCGATCAGGATTTGGGTGAAAAATGTTTAATCCGTTGTAAATCGATTTTGAAAAAATGTGACCCATATCTGACTGACTAAGTTTTCGGTTTGAGGTGGTTCGGGTTGAAACGAATTAGGATTTGAGCAGGTAGGTACAATTGGGTTTAAGATTTTCTATAAACCAAGTTATCTTAACGAATGTGAAGCTTAAAACAATAAAAAAAAATTAAAACAGTATACAAAAATAAAATGAAGGTGACAATAGATGGTATAAGTAGATTTGTAGATGAAACATTCACAAACTAAAGAAGCAAAAACAAAAGATAACAAAATTCATAGTAGTTACATGCAAAAGAAATCTAAAGTTAGATTACAAAACCCATAAGAAATCACAGTCGCATAAGTTGTACTCAAAATGAAGATAAAAGGAAAAAAGAAAAAAAAAAAAAAAAAAAAGACAAAGAAAGAAACAAAAAGAAAACTCTAAGAATGAACCAGTGTGTTGAGAAGTTGAACGAGAAAGGAGAAGACAAATGAAACATTTAGGTTGTAAGAAAAAGGAAAAAAAATAAGTTACAAATTGATAACTATATTATACTTGAAATAAAGACTTTTGAGTTTGGACCATTATTATTTAGTTATACAAAAGTAATAAAAATCTAAGGGGATGTATTGGTTTAGGATTTCATAGGATTTTAAAAGACTTTTTTTGAGTAAAAAAGTCAATTGGTATTCAATCAGATTTTATGTCACTTAAAAACAATCCAGTGGTATTCAATCTGGATTTTCAAGATTTTTTAAAGAGTCCATTAAAATTCACTGGTATTCATTTGAGATTTTTTACAATTTAAAAACAATCTATTGGTATTCAAAAATATAAGGATTTTAAAGGATTGTTGTATGAGAGAGATTTTGAAGGACTTTCTAGTATTATCTATAAATATCAGATTCATAAAACAATCTCATCCAAACCCATCGGATTTTGAAGGATTGTTTGAAGTGATTTTTCAAGTGTTTCAAGAATTTTCAAGTGAGTTTTCATCTTTTTTTTTCTATGCTCCTGTCTTCTCCATTTTTTCTCTACTAATAATACTACACTATTGTTCATTGCTCATATATAATATTGTAGTATTGTTCTCATCTCATTCCCCTATTTTGTGAAACTCTGATATGTAAATGATAGTGTCATTGACTTGCTCTATTTTTCTGTTCGTTTTCTTTAATTGACTTGCTTTATTTTATTTTATGTTGTTGAATTTGTTCCTTTATATAACACAAAAAAATGCTTGAACTTTTAATTTTTAAATGGTAATTTTTTTTATAACTCACGTCAAGAAAAGAAAAAGGTGAAAGATGAAATATATATCATAATCTCTACAATATATATATATATATATATATATATATAAGATGAATTTGTTAGGGTTTCTGTGAGTAGAATAATATGAAAATGGATATTAGTTGGGGGAAGAACCTTCTCAGCATAAAAACTACGAACTCTCTCCTTCCCTTGAATTTGTTACTCTTATCCCTTCTCCTTTTATGACTCAATAATTATTATTTTTTTACTATGAATTTTTCTTTTTATTTTTATATTGTGAAATTAAGATTTTTTTATATTTTAAAAAAAGAAAATTAACATAAGACATTGCAAAATCTTAAAAGTCATGAAAATCCTGCAAAGTCTTTTAAAATCCGCAGGATTTTTTTTAACTAAAAAAATTCTTTAAAATCCTAATCCAATACACTCCCATAAACTTATCTCATTTTCGGTTGGGTTCGGTTTTTAGCAGGTTTAAAAATTCAAAAACGAACCCCGCTAATATAACCTGTATAAAATCAAAATTTTAACCCGATTTATCCATAAAACCCGCCCGAACATACCCACCCAAAAATAATATTTTTAAACAGGTTTTTGGAATTCGGTTCGGGTCTCAATTTTATGTTCACCCTTAATTTTTAAGGTGTTGACCTTTTTCATTTCAATATATTTTCTTATAATTTTTAATATATATCAAAATATTTTGATTTAATAAATTATATATATATATATATAGTATAAACTATCATGAATTACTTTTATGTATATTACAAGGAGCAAGCTAAATAACAAATTTGTAAATTTCTTTACTTTAGTAAATAGAATCTTATTGTTTTTTCTCAAAGTCATTTTGATTTCTACAAAATGATTTAAAATATTTGGACTAATATTTAGTGAGAAGGAGAAAATTAATTCCTTGGATCATTTATCAAGAACACAACACTTAGTATAGAAGAAAACAAATTGAAAGTGAAAAAAAATCTATAATTTGTCATTTTTGTTAGTTTAAAAAATTGGTAGAATTAAAACATCCCAATAATACGGTGTATTTGGATGAAGAATATAAATAGAGTAATTTATTTTTTTAAAAGAATTTTAAATGCCTTATAATGAAATGCTTTGTTTAAATGAAGAATTCATAAAGAATTTAAAATTCAAATATTTGTACAAATTCATTAAAATAACATAATTTTATTTTTTTTTCAAAAAAGTAAAAGTTGGAATTCTTCATTTTCTCTCTCTCTTATTTTACCTATATATCTTTTATCTCTGTCATATCTCAATTTTATTCATGATGAAAATCAAATTATCATATTCAAAATAAAAAAAATTTAAAATTTAAGAAATTTAAATTAACTTATCCAAACAAAATATTTAAAGAATGATGTCATAGAACTTTACATAAGATTTTTGTTCATTTCACTCGTGTATATACAAAAGCTATCAAGGTGGTTGATGCCACTCTTACGAAGGATGTAAAATCATAGTTTTAAAAATCAGATTGATCATCAAACTAGTTAAGGTATTGAATCAGTGCGTCAAAGGTTAAACTGATGGATCACTAATTAAATCGCATGATCCGATTTCTATTAATTTTAAAAAAATATTCATGTTAAATATATTTTATACTTATAAATTTCAATAAATTCATATCATATCTTAAAATTTAATTTTCATCCTATTTAAAATTGTCTTTATTTTTATTTTGTATAAAGAAATACATGAACAAGTTGCATGTTAAACTGTATGTTAATACAAATTAAAAATATAAATAATATATATAATATACTTGTAATTGATATCACAAAATAATATATGTAATATATATATATATATATATATTATATTATTAAATATATAATTTAAAATTAATAATATACAATAAAAGTTATTTAATTGCATATATTACAAACAAATATATTAGAATAAGTGATCATTGTAATGTTTGATAAGGATCTTTAGTCTTCTATAAACAGGGTTGATTCTTATGTTGTGTTTTTCTTTGAATTTTTTTTAAGTGATGAAAAACATCTTTGTGGTTGACTTAGTTTGACCCTCCATATCATTGGCTGAATCGAAAAATTAATCGGTTCATTTCAGTTTGAAACGGTGGGGTGCCTAGCTCCTTTCAACCTTATTTGTCAATTTTAATTAATGAAACAAAATATTAAATAATTTTTAAATTTTTTTAAAAATTGTAAACTTGATTTATGTATTAAAAAATTTAAATTCAATGGTTACATTGTTGAAATTTGTTATAAAACATAATTTATTGAATAGAGTAAGTTTAGATAGACTTGCTCTTAAAATAAATGGATTCCTTTATATATATATATATATAGGGGGTTATAATTACACTGGTGTAACTTTTATCAAGTGTTACACCACTCAATAACTTTATATTAAATATGAATTTTGTAAATCCAACCGTTAGATTGAAAGTTCATATCATTTTATATGTGTATATCAAATTTTGTTAAAATTGAACAACAATTTGAAGGTGATCAAAGTGTTCATATTTTAATATATTTTGAAATGAATATATTACGTCAATTTTGTTTTATAAAAATGAAGTATCAAATCATCTTGGATTGATATAAAATTTTGTATATATGATCTAAGAGATATGAACTTTTAATTTAACGGCTGGATTTACAAAATTCACATGTAATATAAAGTTATTAAGCGGTATAGTACTTAGTAAAAGTTATACACATATTATTATAACTTCCCTCACTATATATATATATATATATATATA